GTATAAATATGTTGATGTATATATTATTATATACACGTATAAGCTTATTCATACACATATTTATAATGAAAAATTCATTTAGTAATATCAAAACTATTATTTAATTTAATCAAATTTCTTCGAGAGATATATAGGGTACGAATATTTATGGGATTAACTGTACATTCGTCTCAATTTCAATATAAAACATCGTGGGAAATTACTAAATAGTTTCAATCATTGTTTGCTCTTATATCGACATAATCAGTTAATTTATAATTGTAATTAATATGGATCAAGTTTTAAATCTAATTAGTAACTTTAACTCTAAATTAATAATCCACGACGTGAATTTGACACTTCAAAGCTAAATACTAACATGTTATATAAAGCATGATTCTCTGAAAGTGGATCATCCCAATAAGTCCCGTTCAGTTCCACTCATCAACAAGTTTTACAATTAACCATCGTAGGGCGGTAGGTTGTACGATTCGCGGAATTTATTCATACAGGAATCTGAATACGCCGAGGATGCCTCAGACGCTTCCGAATACGTATTCCGTGGTGTGTATCCAGAACAAAAGACGCCGCGCATAGTTTATCGTAGATCGTAGGAATTTCAACGGAGGAGGCGCCGAGGCGTCGACTCCTCTCGTATTACTTGTACGTCGAGCAACTTCTGAACACGAAACGTGTCGAAATTATTACTTTACTATATGGAGCGCAGATGGTTGGACGTTGACGATAAACGCTGGCGGGATACGAATTAGACGAACCCCTGTTTCGGAATAGTTTCAAGACTTTCAGATAAGTTTGTTCATTAATGAGGCAACACAATTGAGAGATTCTTCCACTTGGGTTCAACGAAATCGGTTAGTGTCTATTTTCAATTGGCCTCTGGCTACGTCCCTACTTAGTTTCGCTAGTTATCCCGTGGAGTATGAAGCGGTACGCAAATGTCAGAACGCGATTTCTAAGGACTGAAAGTCAACAGAGAGGTATTATTATTTATTATTTATTTATTTATTGTCGCATCAGCTTGTAAGCCATTAGCGACCGCTGTGAGTTACGTTCAACATTTATATACATCTGTGAATCATAACGTAATTAAAATAAATACGGAATGACTTAAGGTTAGAATAACTAACAATAATTATAAATGTCTCGTTAATTCTTGTTTATATTTCTTTGGAAATTTTCCTCCTTCGTAAATAAGATATAATTTTTGATATGCACTTCTTGTTATTTATGCACCAGGGGTATTCTTCAAGAATAGACACAAAATATACTCCTTTAAGAAAGCTGCACATTATTGTTCCCTAAAGTACTCATATATCAGATCAACGAGTTTTTCTTGCAATAAAAATGCTCTCAATTATCCATTTATAGGATACTCCTCATCCATTTCGACTCCCACAAAATCAATAAAAAAATAAACCCATCCTGTGTCCACAAATTCCAAACAAAGCCCTCTGTTCCCTCAAGCCTCTTTACGTCGAAAAAAGTTTGAAAGCTCCCGCTGTAATCCAAATCAATCTCTCCATGGGACAAAAGATCGCACCTCGCGGAGATTCCCTCGAAAAATAGCCAGCTCGCGAACCGGTGCAGCTCATCCCCGACGATCTCAGCCACCCAAAAATTGATTCTACACCACCGTTTGGACGGCTCGCGATAGGAGGGAGGGAGGAAAGTTTCGGCTCCCTCTCCTGCTGGCAAAACTCGCCAGGAATTCCTGGGGCACGGCCGGCTGGAACCTCTCGTCTCGTTCGAGCGGGTCTCCGCTACGGGGGCAAGCCTCTTATCCACGTTGGATCGGTCTGTGACTTTTGTCGGTGCGCGTTCCCTGGTCCCCTTTGAGTAATGGAAGTCGACCGAAATCAATTTCAATTCCTACGAGCCACAGCGCTCTCAGCTCGCCGCGGTTCTCTCCTTTGAGAGGGTCTCACCATTTGAGCTTCCATGCACGCTTCCTTGCTTAACACCTTCGGATTTTATGTGGACGACACCGCTCGCCGATCTTACCTGCGTCGTTCCTCTGCGCGGTGGTATGCCGACCATTTCGCGAATGTCACTCGAACGGAGGGGCTAGCCGCCGGCTGATACCGCGCCGGTTTATCCGGTGATATCTAATTTCCAAACGACGGGAACGGGGACTAGGATCCCCGACGGGAAGACCGCTTTCGTCTGGGGGCTTTTGCTCGTATCGGGACTCGAGATATTCGCCAGAGGCGATTAGGTTGCCGAGGGGGTGAATGTAACGTATGGGGGTCGGGGATGGAAAGATTGAACTGGGACTTCTGGCACTTGGCTTAAAAGTGACTACGAGTCTCTAAAGACGGTGGTGGAACTATGTTCCAGCATCCTAGATCAGTTCTGGAAAAGTCAGAGCCATGTGGTCCATCTCCTCGCGGTTCCCACCGCGAGTATCCTTGAAAATATCTTTGTTTCTCGGGGAAAACAAGAACCCCTTTGGCTATGTTCTAGTATCCCAGATATCCCAGATCAACCCTGAAGAAATCATAGCCAAGGGGTCTCCATCTCCTCGTGCTTCGAGGAACCACTAATTATAAAATATTCCCCATCCAGTTCAAGTAAGAATCAAGAAATGTGTAAGTTTTCCATTTAAGGAAAACTTTATTGCAGCAACCCGAATGCAACCTTCCTTGTCGCAGTCCACATTCGCTACTTCAGATTCCCATGTACTCGACACTTGCATATAATAACCCCACCCTTGGAATAAAAATAAATTCCAGGCAGGTGCCTCATTTGTTTAAGCGCCAAATTGAGAGGACCCCTCGAACGATACCCTCGTCCAATAAAACGTCGCGTTCGCAGCAGAGCACCAGGCGGAATCCATTCCGTGCAAACGTGACTAGTAAAACTCGGGATCTGTGTAATTTAAACGGGCGAGGATTTAAGCGTCTAGCGGATTCAGATTATCGAGGTATCCCCTTAATCGACGAGGGAATAAATCGTCGTGCGAGGGGTTAATTAAGTTTTATGGTACGAGCGCGGTGCGGCCGTTACGCAGGTGTACGGGGCGGTGTTATCTACGATACATCTTCATCTTCGCATGGCTGACTCGGTCAATTGAAGCCACTCTCCTACCGATGGTACTCGCGAGCGCGAGCCACGATCTTATCTCGTCCCGGCGAAAACAACAGGTGCACGGAATCACGACCGTCGGTTCGAGATCTGACGTCCCGCTCCCATGTCCTTTACGACCGCGCCGAATTTCAAATAGGATCGTAAAATTGTATCCTCGTACGTCTCCCGGTGTCTTTCCACTGGCGGAGCCACTCCGTCGACCCTCGTGCAGCCGATCGACCAGGGGAACAGGGAAATGTAACGTTCGTCCCGGTGAATGGTCGGGACTAACGTTAAAACACACCGCCGACAAGCTACTTCGAGGAAGATGTTGTGTAAAAAGGTGTTCCTGGGTGATTAGGGGATAGCGAAAGCTTTGCTAGCTTCAATTGGACCGCCTCAATCTTTTGCGCTCGATGACACTTTGGGTGAGGTACACTACATAGCGACTTTAAACGATTTAGCGAGTCTTTGATAGAATGATTTCAACCCCTTAACTCTTTGCGGTACAGGAATTCAGGTCATAAAATAGATCCATGTTACACAGGAATTTTATTGCGTTTTAAATCAAACAAAATTGTTATATTTTTATTAATAAAGGTATCACACCTATACACATGCAGCTATTGCAAAATTTCGAGGTGGGATTAAAAATGTCTCACCATGCATTACGGTCCATCAAAATGGTGGGGCACTTAAGATGAAGAGTCTTTATATAATTTTAACAATCGTTTATGAATTTCTTCTGGTGCTACGGCTTCGAAAAATAAACATTTTATCGGTACAAGATATTCAATTTTTCCCATTGTAAAAAAATACTATGACACGTCAGCTTTGAACAGCTGTAAATATCTGATTTCCAATCATCTAAAAAATCTGGTTTTCCAGCCTGAGTTCCATCAAGGTCCTATTCTCTTCAGCTGTCCGGCACGGGCATTGTACCGATGCAATGCCATCCGTTCAGAATGCACCGAGTCTTTCCCAATCACCCACTAATTACACGCGAATTCTCCCGGTTGCATGCGATTACGCCGCGCGGGAAATACGCGGAAATTGATTCGATCCTCGGTGGCGGCGAGGCGTTCACAAAGCGAAACGCAGACGCGGTTAATTTCCACCGGCACGAATCAAAGGATTTCGAAGTATGAAGTCGTATCGCCGTGCCTACCAGCAGTTTGGTGATAAAGGTGTAAGGACATCAATTAATACTCCTTTTCATTGCGGCCATAAAAGCGCGTAACACGATTACGGGCAACATTTATGGCTGCCGAACGAGCTGTTAACTGTACGGTATTTTTCGCGACGGGACGTTCATAATCGCGGGCGTTTCATGAAACGAAACTTTCAGCTTTTTACGGTCACGGTGACGTGTCTTTTACGAGCCGCCGGGAAGCTCAGACCGTTTAGAGCTTGATATGCTGGAGGATATATTATTCGCCGAAATCCTTCGCGTCGTGTTTGAGCTGCGTTGTAGGATCGATGCATTTGAGTTTTGGAAACCACACCGATAAGAAGCGATAAGGCACGTTCATCGAAGTTTCACTGGTCAAAATAAAAATTTGTACATTTTTCATTGCATATTCGTGCTCGTTTAAACGGACAAATAGAATTTTCTTGATACAAATGAGTCCAAACGCAACCTCACCAGGAGTATTTTTAGTTATGGTCAGTTGAAATTTTTTCAGCAGCTCTTCGACAAATGGATGTAGTCGAACGTGATTATAACGAGCACGGATGTAGCAAAATCGTGGGCTTAACGAACCAAATGTCATTATTATTTTTATGAAAACGTTTTTTGTACGAGTATTCACTTTTATAACGACGTACATGTGCTGTAAAAAATTCAGAAACTTTACAAAAAATGACAATTATATTTACGATTCATCGGTATTATTGTAAGTGATCAATAAAGTGGCTGATCAATATATCGCTCAATGTTAAATGGATTGTAAGTTATACAATTATATTAAGTTACTTTCTAAAAATTCCTGATAACGAAAGTGAGACAACTCGCCATCGGTGTTATAAGCGATCGCGATAGTCATACCCAGGAAATTTGTGTTTGATTGTAATAAAAATAATTCGAACGAGACCTCGTTCGGAAATTTTTGCATAAGAGGTTCTTTCAAAGTTTTGCTCATTAAAATTTGATACCTAGAATATTAAAATTAAGCCGTACATGTACCTATAATGTACCTATCTACAGACAATGATTATTACGATGATTATTTCGAAACAACCATCCACGAGAGCTATCTTGCAACAGATTCTTCCTGGGTGTCCACAGAACTTCAACGATGTCCCCTCTTGAAGAGCGATGGAAGACGAAAAATCGGCAGACTTATGGCGTCGCCTAAGTGACCAGTCGTCGGGCTGCCTCTGACGCAAGCCTCGGGTCGGTAAAGTTAAAAGTGTCCTTTGCGCCGAGGATCGATGTGCTTACGCGGAGGAACGTCTCTTGGTAATAATGACACAAAGATGCCGGCCTGCTCTCACGGGGGTTCCGGTATCGCGGGACCTCCAGGTGATCTCTCGGGACGAAAATCTCCTAAACCAAGGGCACGGTTCGTTAGCGCCATTGTGGCCGAGTCCAAATATTGTTGGATTCCATTCTGGACCTACAGCGAAGATTTCTGCCTTCCACGACGTCATCATTGTGCGACCGTTCACGAGAATGACGACTTCATGCGCGGTGGCACAAGACGGACACTTTTCTTTCATGGCTCATTGAGTCATCCTCACGAGCTCTGCTGTTTTGTGACGCCTAATCCTGGTCGTTTGTCATCGGTTAAATTATACGAATGGTAACTGTATCGAGGTATGTTTCTTTGGATTTTTTTTTTGGATCATTTATTGGTACAATAAATTAAGTTACGTAGTATGTAAAAAGGACACATTTGTCCGTTGTCAAACATTTAATTCTACAATTCAGACTCTGTTTTTGAGATGGAGATATAATTTGTAATTTATCACGGTTGAAGAGCAATCAGATCTTATCTCCACAGGGAGAATTATTGTTTCTCCGGAGGATTGCTCTTGCAGAAATTATATCTACCAAACGATCCACTGATCAAGCAAGAACAAAATATGAATTGACTCTTCTCTACTTTTAATTCCTCCTACAATCTATTTCATTCCAAGTCTCTTGTCTACTTATTTCTAAAAAGTTATCTATCCCCCACTCCTCTTCCAAAATTATTATCCACCTTTGAGCGGCCTGGCAATCGATCTTAACACCAGGCTTATGGAGCCCTCATGCTGACTTTTATCCATAAAGCATATACAGTCAGTCCCATAAATATTCGTATCTTCCACGTCTATTGAAGAAGTTTGACTAAATTAAATAATAGTTTCGATATTACCAAATGAATTTTTTATTATAATTATGTATACGAATAAGCTTATAGATGTATATATTAATATATACATCAACATATTTACACAAACACACACTTGGAAACATCAAATCGAGCATTTAATTTAAATAAATTTCTTCAATAGACATAGAGGGTACGAATATTTATGGGACTAACTGTATACAAATTCATTTTTGTCTAAGCCTTCTAATTCTAGAAAATCAACTTCCACATAACACGACATAAATCAACATAAACCTAGTGTCAACCACCATAACCGCCATAACGGCTCCTGTTACACAGCACCGAGGGGTCCGTAAATACTCGTCTTCGTCTTAATTGATCTTGCGATCGTCGCTGCGATTGTTCGTGTTGTTATCTTTGTCGAATTTGTCCAACACGTCCAGGCGAAGGAAGGAACCGACTATAGAGCGAGCCGTGGACGCTCCTCTGCCGATCCCGCCTTCCATCGAACTCGTGCCGCTGCTTTTCGAGATTTTAACGGGTTTCGTCTCCGCCCAAATGTTCATAGCGAATCTCAATTCCGCTACCAGCGCCTCCCAAGGAGTGACCTGCAAGAACGCCGACGAGAAATCGTTTCGTGTCGGGGCACCGCTTAATTAAGTCAGCGTCGTTTATTCGGCCGGTCGCGTTTTAATCGCGTAATGAAACTCCCCCCCCCCCCCGCCCTGTTGTCCATTACAGCTCGAAGGAGCAAGCAATAAGGATTCCCGAGATCCTGACTTTTATTCCTTTCGGTGTTATGAATGAGTCAATCGTCGATCTTTCCACGAAGGTAATTTTTTGTTTTTAGACTGATTTTGAAGAAGCGAGCTTTGTCTCGAACTTTTAGGGAATCGTTTGGAGGCAACTTTTTTTTTTTGTTGTTGTAAGAGAAGGAACTATTAAAGTTATTCTGCGATCAATGACGTAGGGTGAACGATATCTCCTCGTAGGGAATATCCGAGCGGAAAGGGTTAATTTAATCACCTTTTCGGTCACGGCGACCTTTCGTACGTTCCAAAGAAATTCGCAGATGGCGATGACGAACGACCCGCAGCATCCAAACAGGAGTACCAGGAACACACCTCCTACGTTGGCCAACCCCAGCTCGCTCGAGTTCGCAGGTTCTGCATCCGCCTTCGAGCACTGGCCGCCCCCATGCCCTTTCCACCATTTCGTCTTCAGGTCCTGCAGCACCCCTTTCTCTTGTAGCATCAGTATCGCGCCGCTTATAGGTGTTCTGTACGGGGAATCTACAAGAAGGTATGAATTAAAATTGATCAGAGCCGAGGTCCGACCTGTCGTACTGTTGATGTTGCAATTTGATGGACAAGGTGTCACACATAACAATAATTCGATCTTAACTTACTTCGCGGCAAAGCAATTCCGTATCCTTTGTTATCAATAAGCCCCCCAACCTGGTCAAGATCGCACTGTCTCTCCATCCTGTATTCGATGGTGGTGGACTCCATGAAGAAGGCGTAGTCGCGCTTCTTCAGGACACGTTTGACACCATCGTCATTGGAGTCCGTGAAAACGCTTGGGCGTGCCTCCATCATCGAAGCCCAAATACGTTGATAAGTTGAGTAATTTGAGTCCTGTGCGAAGAACAAGACAGCACATAATCGATTCAATACTCTCGTTTCCCTTATCGCAATTTTATTTTATTCGTCTCATTATTATTACAGATGTTATCATATTAAAGAGGGTCACATGTGACGTTCCAATTTTTATCTAAAATTAGTCTTTGTGTAATTAATTTCAACAAGCACTTCCGTCACATTTAGACCAGACTGTTTGAAATATATTTCTGTAACGGGCTGTAAATATTTCAAAAAGTGAAAGAAGTTCGACAGGGGTTGAAACGTACTCTGAAGAAGCCAGACGTGGCTCCGCCTCGAACAGCCCCGTATTTGATTTTCGTTTGCTTGGCTAGGTCCTCCACATCCTTGATCGGATTGTCCATTTTATCGACCGTGAGGAACGCAGCCAAATTGGCAGTGTACGAGGAGCCCATGATCAACGTGAAGAACCACCACATCCCAGCTACCATGCGAATCGAGGGTGCCCTGAAAAGTACACGTGTTACGATCAAATCAATAATTTATAAGGAGAGAAAAGTTTTCGTAAAGGGTGAGAAAATTGCACAATTTTATTCCACGTTCGTTGGTGCAGGTATTATTTTCACTCCACCCCAAGTTAACCTTTCCTTCGTAGTGCTCAAGTGTATATAACCCCATGAAATGCTTGCGTGAATATTAAACAATAGCATTTTGCTGCGATACTATAGAGATTTAGGCGTTCAACGGAAATTCTCAACTAATATCAGTAAAATTAGTAGTTAAAACGAGCTGATGAACTTTCGACTATCTGCAAAACAGATCAGCTCACACTGATAGCGAGATTGCTTCCACCAAACAGGAGTTTCACGTGAAAATTGTGATGAAGCGACTTAGTATGACGTCGACACAAACGACAATCTGAGTATAGCGAAATAAATCCTGAATTATAATTTAAGTTACATTGAGATCAATCTGCCATTATTGCAATCAATCATTGGATGAAATTGGAAGGGATTTGAGGGAATTCCTATTATTTTGCTATTCAATTTCGAGCGCAGAAGCCGGCAGAGACGACGCGTCGCGAGAAGCACGCACCGCGCTTTCCTAATTAAGCGCAAGTTAAGGTTCGCGTATGCAAATGACGTTGCAGAGAATAGTATACATGTACATGGATATCCTCCATCCGTGTCTTGCGCGGGCGTGCGGATCGAAAGGGACTGGGTAAACAGAAACAAAGGACATTGTTTCCTCGCAAACGGCGCTTCCGATTAATAAATTGCGATTGAATTGCTGCGAACATGCGATGGAGATCGCATCGATGAGCGATGGGGGCTTCTAGAAGTCATGGAAATTAATTTCCGAATTACAGGGAGGGTTGAAAAGGTATTTTAATACACTCAAATATAGCCAGGATGAAACTTGAGTCACTGGCGGACGAGGAAGATTTATGTTTTGAGGAACAAGTGGTAGACAGAATAGTTATTAAATAATATGTACAGTCAGTCCTGTATATTTCCACTCCAGATTAATGTAGCTTAAACGAACTAATCTCTACAAAACGATAAAAAAAAAACTCGTCGAAAACCCAAGAATTCCAAGCTACCAATCTAATCTTCATCCCCAGCTCTCTACTTTCATTCTCCTGGCCACGAGAGCCTTGTATTCAACAGTTGAAATTCATTTCAATGCCAGCAGTTCCACTATTTTATCTGTACTGAGTACATCTCAGCAGTACAACGCTAAAGATATCTTAAATTCGCATCATCCCCATTCCCAGCTACCAGACAGCCTGTCTACGACGGAGCCGTTACCGTCGCGGGAAATTAACAATGGCGGCGCGGTTTCCCGTGCACGGCGTCGAGTGGGACGCGGAATTATACCCAAAATATTACTTACATGCAAATCACGGCAATCCACGCCGCGTCCTGGTAGCATAAACAAGGGCGTACAGGAAGCAGTTAGGAGGCGCGGTGTTGTTGGTTGTCCACCTCCTAGCCGACGTCGTCTTTAGTCGGTTCGTCGTCAGTATGTAGCGAGCAAACAAGCGGGACGTTACGAGCGAAGAGTTAGCGCCGTGACGGCGCTAATAAGTGGGAAGCCGCCTCAAATATGTCAGGCAAACAGCGGCTCGTTAAGCTTAATTGTCGTGAAAAAAGGAGGATCGCCTCGGGTTGCTGGGACACGCGGGAACGGCTCGGAGGGAGGGGAAAAAAACCGCCGCGTCTGCTTTTGGCACCGTCTCTGTAGGCTTTTCTGCTAGCGATCCGCGATATTTTATTCCCTTAAGTAGAATAATGAGATCGGGGATGCCGACGGTGCGCGCGGAGGATTTTTACCGCGAACCCTCCGCGCGCCTCCAGGCTCAAGATACTGAAGGATCCAAACTCTGTTGCACTTCTCTATTTTTGAACGTATGAAGCCCTCAAATACTTTCGAAAGTATTAATTATACTTTTGGGTTCATTTTTATACTCGTTTCATTTAAAAAAAAAAACAATGTCAAGTGCAAAAGGTGTATGTCTTTTAAACAGTCAAGTTTTTCGAAGATATCGACTGCTGTGCCCATAAATTTGAATAAAAAGGGAAATACAATAATATTGATAAAAATAGAAAGGGGACAAAATACAGAAGTGCTTGCAGAATTTCTTACAGATATTGTCGTGGTACTATTCCCGTCGCGATTGCAGGTAAAGCTGGCTAATCGTTGCTGAATCAAGCCGAGGAGACTCCATTTCACTCGGAGTGGCTCGAATGCTTAATACCTGGATTGCAGTTGCACAGACGAAGTAGTCGCAGTCGCGCCGTGGTTTCGGTCCCGTAATTATCGCACGGCTTTGCGTGCGGGTAAGGTGTGCTGCGGTGACATAGGTGCTTGGTTCGATTCAAAACTTACTTGGGAAGTATGTCACAGCCCTGTTGCATTAAGGATCCGATGGTGAACCACATGGAGTTATTCAAATCGAAATTGTACTCCAGTTCTTCCGGATCGGGGTTGCAGGGGTGAGGGTTGTCCCATTCGCCGGGCGCCATTCTGAAATTAAATAGTCAAAATGCCTCGAATAACATAATTCACAGATAGTTTGATTTTTAGAAGACAATCTGATGGGTAACATTCTATTGCGTAAAGTATTTCACTAGGAACCTGATGTAAATGATTCTTGAAAAATTTATTTAGGAAACCTAACAGCCATGCAGATTCAGCAATTTATTATTTAGTGTGTAACATTGCAATGCTTCTTAAAATGTTATTTTCTTCATTGTCAACACACATAGAAACAAATATTTATAAGGAGATCCTCCTAAGTAGGATCATTAAAGAGCACGGTTTAAATGTCTATTAGGGATGAATGAATTGCTTGGAATGATTCCTTCGTATATTCTTTCAACGTTTTCACCACTGCTTTAATAAATTGTTCTTGACTTTGAAAAAGTAACGTCGTACTGAATACTATATCAGGAATATGTTGGCAACACGGTTTTCCAACTTCCCTAACTCAGCTCACTTTCATTCACAGGGGCTAATAATATGCAATAACGGGCGAGTATAATTATCCTAGGTTGAAGATGATGGTAAATTTATGGGCAAAGTTCGTGGCATTATCTCGTAGGGGGTGGGTCAGAAGTGCACGTTATTTACCTCGTAAAATTTGTCCTGGAATGCATTATAAGGCAAATTTTACTATGATATACGGCTTCATATAAATACGCGAAAGCGACTTCGAAATTCTTCCTATTAATAATTCCAAAGAAATGTGTGTAAATAAGTTATGTCTCTTTATTCTCAAGCAATACATTCGTTCTTTTTATTAATCCCGAATATAAAATTCATGACATGAATTTTTCAGTTCTTAATTCTTCAAACACTCTTTTCTCCAATGATAATTGTTCATACTTTTATTATTTAGAGGCAATAAAATACGAAACATTCTGTAATAATAAAAATATTCATTCATCTCGCTTAATTGTCGAGAAAAGAGTGATATAACGAATCCACTCCTATAATTCAGCGGCATAAACGCCTTCAACGTGAAATATTAAATGGAAATTAATTTTATGATTCCTCGGGATCAAGCGTTCAAACCAATGCGAGATGGGAAGTTTCACCACGACGGGAACTTCCAGACGCGCTTATTATTTTTCTCGCCGCCTTACCTAGATTGCACGAACAGCATTATCGAAACTGCTAAGAAGGCAGTCGCCATGTAAATCCAGACGTCCGTTGACAGCGGCGACAGAAACGAGAACAGGTCTGGCTCCTTCTGCTCGGGCTTTCTGTATAAAATGCTGATACCTGGCTCGGACACATGGAATGAGATAGCAGTGTCACTGGGAAAATTGCGAATAGTAAATAACGAGACAGTGTACCTAGATTCATAAATGGCATCGTGAAGTCGACGGCACTTTCCCGTTCGTAGGTGATCGTAAGATCGCAAATGGCGAGATCGGCGTCCTGTAATGAGTATTCGTGTCAGCATTATCGAATTGACGTAGTTTATTTAATCATTCACAGCCATTGAATGGTTAAAAAGAAAATTGAATGTTTCTAGGTATCAAAAACTGCTAAATGGTAAAAAAGATGTCAATAAATTTGGGTGCCCCGAACTAAAATTCAACTATATTTCATGTTTCGCAATCCCTAAAGTATTGGTCACAGTGAAAAGTATCTTCAAATAATTCAGCGTAGCCCCCGATCTAGCTGTACTCCATTAATTTAGAAGTTGTAAGCAATGTTAAGAAAGTGGCAGAAGCGCCGATTGACATCGGTATGCAGAAACTTGGAAGTGAACGCTAAAGGGAACAGAGGAACGTACCACGAATGAAACCCTACCGCATTCGCCCAGGCAAAGTTAAATTGCGTTTACTCGATTAGTTAAATGCTGTTTACTTGGAAAGTGTTACGTACGCGATCCAGCAAACGTCTGATAAGACCGTTCCACTGTTTCGTCTCCTTATTGTATGTACCGTAGTTCTTGTCCGGCACCAATTCGAATTCGTATTTAAAATTCAATAGCTTGGAAATCTCCTCGATGAGGTCGATGCAGAACCCTTCGTAACGCGTTTGCTCGATTAGGACGCCACGGGTTGTGCTGTTCTCCACCTCCATTACGTACGGTGGACCCTGGTGAATTGGGTTTACCTCGCTTTAACTTCTATTTCTCATTGGGAATCTTCCATCAGCCACCACTACTTCAGTATAATCGCTAGGACGACTGGACGCTTCAGAATTGATCATATTCTAAGTCTAATTCGAAATTAATTCTCTCAAGGATAATATTTTTGTAAATCTACTTGATATTGATATATATTTCCAAGTCCGTTGTTAAACTGACTATTTTCCAAGTCTACTTAGGAATTGATTGTTCCCCAGGTTTACTTACAAACACTTTTTCCAAGTGTACTTAGAAACTCATAATTTTCTATGTATTCAAAAGTTGACATTTTCCTAAATCTATTTAAAAATTCGTAACTTTATAAGTTTTCTGAAAAATGTATCACTTTTAGTCTACGCAACACGCGATATTTTTCTAAATCCTCTTAAAAATTTATTTCGATGATGGAACATCTGCAGTGTTGACTAAATGTGCAACTACTTTTCAAAGAGACATGCAGTCAGTTGGTCATAAATACGTACCACTTTGGTGCTAATTATGAACTTCTTCTGCTCGATGGATTTGTACCAGTAGCTCTCGCGTTCCTCTTCGCTGCCTGCCGTGTGAAGACCCTCTGGATCCCAATATCCGAACTGAACGTACTCCCCTGGCCTCATGTCCAAAATGCGTAGTTTAAAGTTGTTACGACGACCATCCTCGTTGATCGACATCTCTCCTGTGATCTTGCCCTCCTTGGACACCTACAAATAACATCCTATTAACTTCAATTCTCAATTGGTCGTATTGTCGTATGATAATTTGCTGTAAAGTTTTAGAAAACCTAAATTAAAGTCTAAATAAATTCCAGAATATTAATACTTAGCAATTGGGGGTTTTGGCAGTTTTTGACACAGAAGAAGACAACAATCTTCCAAATCAAATCATAAACCACAAGGTACAATATAAAAACCATTCAAGACGCTAATCTACAGTCAGTCCCATAAATATACGTACCCTCTGTGTTTATTGATCGAATTTGTCTAAATTAAATGATAGGTTCGATGTTTTCAAATCAATTTTTCATTATACATATATAGGATCTAGGATCTAGGAGCCAGTTAATCATGATTATAATCAACCAATCTTCCCCTAAATAATTATGAGTGTACCCACTACCTCCCCTATTTATTGACCTTGTTGGACGTAATCGTTATTCGAAAATTTGATTCAGATAAGAATTCTGTCCGTCTGAGAATGTAGTCGGTAAGTTCCATGACGGGGCTTTAGGAGTTGTCAAGCTGGCGGTTTGAGAGTCCAGTGAGAAGCCAGTGGTGGCTTTACCTCGCGCATGAGGCTGGTAATGTTGGGACCTGCGTTGTATTTCTCTGTTCCTGCACAAGAGAGCGGTACAGGCTCGATGGTTACAGGATCTTCGTTGTCGCTGTTCCTGGCGTTCAAACCCTCCAACGCGTTGTACAGCAGGAACACCGAATCATACATCACGGCTGATTCCAACTTGGTTGCATAAAGAAATTCATATTTATTTCCATTATTATCAGGTTACAATTTTATACGTAACTTAATAATAACATGCACAAATTAAATTAGCCATTGCAAAAGAAGTTTCCATAATTGAATATAGTGTTGGTAATCAATAAATGAAGTTTAAAAAAAAAATTTTATTTACTTCTTTCCTTGAGAAGAAATACAAATTTTTCGTATAATTATTGTTACGAGAGATAACATTTGATCTGTCAATTAATAATTCCCTAAAAAATCATTAAATATATTAAGCTACAAAATTGGCATGAACCTGTTTAATATTCAAGCGCAGCCATTATCTAAACGACAATCTCATCATTGACGCACAATGTAACTTTTAAAAATTAATATTGAATTCTCCGCAATAACATTTCATACGTGGAATATGGGTATCTCAAACGGAAGGGCATGAAAATTTTCTGAGTCCGTTTAACCGAATTGCTTTGATGTTACATTTTTTTCCTGTATCGGTTCCCGAGCGACCATTATTTTTGAGTAAAGTGGATGACGATCACTAATAGCTGCTGATGGAGATAATCGTGACTCTGGTCGATAACTATTTTACTCGAAACATATTTACGACTCGTTTTTCAGAGATACTGGTAGATGTAATCGAACTTCGATTTGTTCAATGTGGATAATATACCGAATACATAGAACTTCCATTACCAGGGAGACACGGTTTTCATGGGAGAAGGTGGTTGTAAAAGAACATCGTTTTCTCTGAGTCAAACTAAAAGTGACAGAATTGTTTGGCGTTTCATGTGGGAAAACATTCTTAATAAAATTATTCATTGTTAATTTAATTGTTATGTATTACTTCATTTTAAATTCTTCTTGCCCTTAGGTATATTCAAATTATAATGCTGTTAGAAATTACATTCATTAGTTGGACACAAAGTACCCTCAACCCCTTAAGTATTATACAAAATAAAAGAAGGTATTCTTAGGATTGGAATCGTCCAGACCCATCTCCATAATCGAAGAAAAATTTTGCAACGCCATTCTACGACTCTGAAGAAGAATAAAAATCACAGCCAACCCCGTCCACCAGATGCAACGTTTCCCTTACACCCTTCTTAAAAAGCGACTTCCTTCGTAGTAGCAGGGACGTTGTAACAAGAAGTGAAGCATTAAGTCGGTCCAATCTTGCAAAATTATAAAGCAACAATGCTTAATCGTTCCAGAGGGAGGCGGGGGTGTTTGCATTTGCATATAGGAGAAAGGGAAAACCGTCGGGGGTGCCAGTGGCCTCTCTATCCGGAGACTGTGGCCGCGATACAAAGCGAATCGGTGCGGCTAATGAAACGAAAATTAAGGCAGCCCGTCAGCTGCTCGTAAGTACCGTGTCGTGAGTGGATTTTCCGGAATAAGGGGTGGTCTGGCTGCATCCTCGAGGCGCGGAGCGGCGTTGCTCCATTATGCCGCGGGGTTAATGAAGAAATTACCCCAGGACGGCTGAAGCCGCGCGCATTTAGACGATTCTTCCGCGAGTGACGTCGCAAACGGTTTTATTATGCATACGGTGAAGAAGTCATGATTAAAACACGTCGATATGGCGCACACTGTGCGAACATGCGGGGCGGAAATCGGTCGAGGACGGTGGAAAAAGAGCGCTCGAGTGTCAAAGGGGTGAATTCGACTTCAGCGAACGGAAGAATTGTTTTCCACTCGTAATTACCGCTTCGATTCAGCGCGCAGAATGTTGTTTATCTTAACGCTTGGTTGCAGCTTTAAGGTGGAGTTGCACTCGTAATTCGTAGGAATAGAAAACAGGCATTAACGAAATATACTTTCTGGTGTATACTGTGAAAAAAATGTCTTTTGTTTAATTGGTATTGTTATTGTGTTTGAAGGAATTTTAATACATATAGAAATTTATTTATTGTGTTTGGGTATCTTAGGTACATTGGCTTGTTAATATTTACTTTTGGATTTTATTTGGTATCATTTTTTGGTAATTGTTTGTCATACGGATTGCTGTTTAGATATAGGAGTAACATAAAGGCAAGACAGAGACACCACCATGGATATTATATGTATGTAAATACTTTACATATTATCTATTAATTCACAACTGATTTTAAATGTACAAAGTTATTTCTTCTGATTTATATAAGTGGAAACTCTCCAATATGAATTTACATTTATTATACTGCTTTTTCATGAGTTCCTAATAAGGGAAACTTTGATGTTTGTTACGTTTAATCGCTTCCAAACGTAAGATAAATGCGGAAACATTCATCTTATTTATCATTACATAGAGCAATTTACGATAATTTCCACGTTAAAGCTGCTCCGTAGGATCTTATTTATTTTACGTAAGAGGATTGTTAGAGCCCTGACTAATTCAAATGAGAGAAGCAGACATCATTGTAACATCGACGAATGCATATTTGAAGAGATGTTTTGATACTGTCGTCGAACAAAATGTTAAAGAGACTTTGAAGTGGTTATAACTATAAGATCCTCTTTAAGGCGATATCGAATGTAGTACTTCGTGCTTTCATTATATCTCTTCTTCCACCATTCCTCGCTATTTTCATCGTGGAATTTAATATAATATGAGCGCATTGCTAGGAAAAAATAGCTTAAAAACTGATGAAGTTTATTCTGGCTTGATTAAAAGTACATTTTCTGCTAATATCGAACGCTGATAAATTATATTAGCGTCGGATCATGAAGGGTAACTTAAACAAAAGGAAAAAAAGGTTATTTATGAGTAACTTACATTTTTTAATGAATGGGATCGTTTTTTGTACTCTATTGGGTATCTTAGTTACAGTAAATAAAGGATAAGCTTCCTATTCAAATATACAGAATATTTTCACGTTATCACTTCCATTTCAACATTCCTGGTCCTCTTCAAAGTTAAATTTACAACGTGAATTTAATATTATTTACTACTAAAGTCTTTAAATACAGTGAACTCGATGCCAGGTTGAAAATAGGAACGTAGAAATATTCTGGAGATTCTAAAAAAATTTCCAATCAAGTTCACAAATTTTGTTATACTAAGAAGAATCGTTGAACGTCCCCTTTAAGATTGCTCGAGTTCTAACAATATCACAGAGTCTCGCTATATTTAATATTCATTGAATCTCGAAAATAGAAATGCTTAAAATATTTATTCAGGGTCGCTCGAGAAAATCGATGCGAACTACGTTCCATTCATCTTCACAAATACCGATTTCCAGTACCCCCCATCTGGTGTCGATAAAAATCCTAATTAACAAGGAAACGTAGCTCGATTCGTCGCCACGCGTATCCCATGAATATTTCATTTTCCAAGACCCCGCGATCGGGACTCTGAGCTGAATTCAAAGCGACGAAAAACGTTAGGCTGGTGGCGACTCGATTAAAAGATAGACATCTCCTTTCCAATTACCAAATTAATTCCGTCCACGTCGTTCTCCCTCAAGCTGAACGCCGTGATGTTCGCCGCGGTGTTGTTCCGCACGCTCGAGATTGGCACCTTCGTTGAGTCCTGCGGATTTGATAAAAAAAATATTGTTACCAACGACCTAAGGTTACTAATTCCAGGTGTGACTCGAAAAAAAGGATAGATCGAGCTATGAACTATCTTAAAATCTATTTACTTTATAATGTTCAACAGATCTGAAGGCTCGAAGGAAATAAATCTTGTAACCAGCTGACTTTCCCAAGGTTTCCCACGATAATTCTCCTTAGGAAGATGTTTGGTCACCGATTTATCCATTCAAACTAGCAGTGAAGAAAGTTGAAGCATTTATGGAATCAGAAGCGGCCGTTCGAGTTCTCCCAGGAAAAATTGAGGGAAGGATTGCAATCCTTCTCGTAAAAGGAGGATATTCCATCACAGAGAAGTGAGGGCAAGGATTCGCCCGAGAAGCCTTCAAGGAAGAAGTACACAAGACTCCGGGAGTCAAGTGGAAGGTTGAGGGTTTGCTATAGCGAATGTTATTTTTACGATGGAGAGAAAGATGGTCTATTCCAAGTGGACGAATATCGATGTGTCGGATGCATAATACCTGAATCAGACATAGCTGATATACAGAAACTATGAAAGATGTATGCTTTGGAAAACAGAATCAATTTTGGCTGTACTTTCTTGATGAGCTTTGAGCTCGATGAACTTTTTGTTTCATGGAGTTAATCGATTTGTGCAATGATTCAATTTTATATTAACTTTATACATGTTCGATCTCACTCAATTGTTCCACCAATCCTAACGCTTCCACTGAATCTTAAATTGCGAAAAATATAGGCGAGGGTTCGAATCGATGACGCACGCCCCGCTTCCTGTTGTCTCGGTGCAACAAGCGGGGAATAAGTTCGAAACTCGCGCTAGTCCGGCGAACAGAAGGCAGCGATAAGAAATACATTTGCAAATGGAAGCGAGACGTATCGGGTAACTTCGTCTCGGCTTCGTGGGCCGAGCGTTTTTCTTCGGATAGGTTCTTGCTTCGAAGTATCGGGAAACTCCGCGCGTCTTGGAACGCTTTTCCACCTTCCTGTTGCTTCGCGAACACAGGCGCAGTGGAGCTTTGCGCGGAGTTCGAAAATTGCTTCCGCAATTATTAATTTGCGAAGCACGGATGGAGAATTTTTTGTTGGAAGTAGAGGGGGTTAGAGGAGGACAATGAATGGAATATAGAGGGATGAAGGTTAGTAAAAAGTTCGTAGCAAATAACTGATACTATTCGTTGTTCAAAGAACAAGGGTGTCTATACAGTCAATCCCATAAGTATTCTTAGCATTTATGTCTATTGAAGACATTTGTCTAAATTGATTGATGGGTTTCATGTTTCCAAATAAATTTTTTATTACTGTTTTAAGTTAAGACTGTTTATTACGGTCGACCTTTAAATGTTCAGTAAAGTAAAATTTACCGTCATCAATTCTAACTTTATTTGTTTATATCTTTGTAATAAAGCGTTTCTGAGCAAACTTTAAGCAACATTTTTGTCTTATTTCCATTTGTAGGATATGCTCCCCAAGTTTGTCGATTAAAACCTGGGACACCCTGTATATATTTAAGATCGTATAATGTCGATGTTCTCTGCGTCTGAAGATCGTTCGACCCGATCGGACCTACGACCAATTTTTTTTATTCGCGCAATAATTAGACCGTATTTGCCAGGCGTAAAGGTCGATCCCCAGGGTGACGTAGTGGTTGAAGGTTATCGAAATCGCGGCATCGGGACGGTGGAAACACTGACGTTGACGTGGGTCCGCCCCATGTCTCACCTCGGGCTGCCGAATGCCGACGTTCAACGAGGCGCCTTCCACGAATTTCTCGGCAGCCAGGACAGATATAGATGCATCGCGAAATTTCTCACGAATTCCCACGGAACGCCTTTTCTCCGCCCGTCGTCGTGTACACGGGCAAATTTCGTTATTTGCGTACGGAAGGGAAGCCTCCAAACAACTTCCGTCGTACACCCCGCGATCAAAGAGACGCGTCGACTTGGCGTCGCGGTGCGACCATTTAGAAAACTCATGGCAACGGTGCCCGCGAAACTTTCCTGGTAATCTACTGCAATCCTCAATGTCAGACTGCGTTACGAAATAAAATGCAGCGACTGTGCTAACACCTCATCACTCCATTATAATTCTTTTGTATAGTGTTGTGGTATTGATATATACATTACAAATAGAAGTTATCGTACTAGATTTAACCCTGTATAGGGGAGAATTCCCTGGACTCTTTTTCACTTTTTGTTTTTGTCATAATCCAGTTACTTACACCATAAATTTAAAAATACGAAATTCCCGCCCCTTCCTTAGTAGTAACCACGTGTACCAGTGATCTAAAAAGGTTTAAGGTAGCTTCGACACAAATTTTTGCTAAAATGGTTAAATGTAATCCAAAGAAATTCCATATTCGAATTCTACATCCCCATCTCTTGTAATCATTTAATTTTCTACTAAATAGGAAAATTGGAATTATTTCCATATATTTTCCACACTGCCCTGTCGCTATCTCCTACGACATTTGCCTCGTGACATTTTCCTGTCCATATTTCGTTAGAAACCGCGCGGAATTACAACTTTCATCCCAACTATGCTGCATTGTCTTCGTCCATACGCGTTGAGACGCGATAAGAGAGACGCTCGTCGTCGTCGCGGATGCTGCTCCATTGTTTTGCTTTGAAAAAGAAGGCGGTGAAAAAAAAAGCGACGATACTGGCTGGCGCGAAAACCTTCGACGCACCTCGAATGTCGTTATTTATGGAGGCATTGTTACGTGCTCGTAGGTAATGCGTCATAAAAAGCGGATTCCGTGGGCGGTGGCGAACGAAGGAGAGCTCGGACCGCGCGACATTAACGGCGTATCGCTGAAAACAATTACTCGCGGCAATTTATGGGACCGTTTAGTAAAAAGCCTGGCAATTTTAACGGTTAACGCAGTTACTTCGACACGGTAAACCGGTAACCGCGAATTTATTAATGAATTAATCTTGAAAAATGATATAGATTAACGACTACGTTCAGGTAAATCCTGGTTGCTTTTGTTGAATCAAGAGTTTGATAATAAACATAGAACATTCTCGACTGTCGAGTTTCTGTTATGTGTATAATTAATTTTACATTCAGTATAGAAACAAACATGTGGATTAAAATGTCTACCTAGAGACCATTTATTTCGAAGAGAGTTTGCTCAACAGCTTCGAAATTAATTTTCTCGAGAACGAAGCATTCGTATGAAACAGTAACATTGTATTTTTGTCCCTTCAAGTATCTGTTTCGTCTCTCTAAACACGTATCGTACCTAAACACCTTCAACAGCTTTGATCCCTATGTATAATAAGTAAAAGTTAATCCGATTTCGTATAAACCATAACGCAATCGCATCGTTCAAGGGTCAAATTGCACACCGCGTCGCAATAAATATTCCAATTTCATGGTTTTCATAAAATTACTCGTAGAGGCGAATATACATACACTTCGCAAAATCCACATTCGCGCAATGTAAAGGTAAACTCGTAAAATGCTTCAATTCCAATCTCATAAATATTTCCTCGTTGCCCGAAGTTTGTTGCATTCAAACATGGGATCAACATTAAACGAAGGGTAAATTTCTCGAAATAGGCTCTCCTTCCTTGTTACAGCAAACAGTGTCCACAGAACGCGGAAAATCTATTTTTAGCCGACTTCGAAAAGGAGGAGAGGTTACTCAATTCGACATGTATATTTTTTTTTTTTTTTTTTTTTAAATGTCTGTTCACCGATTACGCCGAGATGGCTTGACCAATCGGAATGAATCGTATTGCATCCTGTAGAACAAGTTCCCCCGGTGATCCTGCTGTCAAGACTTTTTGTGATTTGCCATTTTTTACCCGTTTTTTTTTTTTTTAAACAGAAAGATTTTGTCTTGCTTCTTACTCCGAGACGGATGAACCAATCAGATTGAAACTTCTTGCATCTGGAAGAGCATTTGCCATTTGGTCCCATAATAAAACATTTGTCCTTGTCTTATTTTTTACCACATTATAACACTTTTTATCGCAAAAAGCGTACTATTTCACGTATGTTTGGCCTGAAACCAATGAAATTGATGTAACCCCTTACATTTTGCTGCCGGAGAGGTTTTCGCAATGATCACAGATGCAAAAATTTATGGACACTTTTATTGTTTAAAATCATTGTTGGTGCAAAATTGTTATGCTCTGGTGTAGCTCGACAAGGAATTTACCAAACGCAATCAATCCTTTCACATGTATTTGCACATGTATTCCTGATAATCCCCCATTTGCAATTATACAGGGTGTCCAAAAAATGTTGGATGTCCTTGAATAGGGTGTTTCGGGGGGGGGGGGGGAGATTTGAAACAATTTTTTCTTAACGAAAATGTTGTTCGAGGCTTCCTTAAGGAGATATTGACAGAAACCCACGACCAATCAGAGTGCCGGTGGAGCGCCTGCGGGGCCTATGCTACCGCAGGCGCTCCACCGACATACTCGCGCTCTGATTGGTCGGGAGCTTCTGTTTCTGGAATATCTCCTTAACAAAGCCTCGAGCAACATTTTCGCTAAGGAAAAATTGTTTCAACCCCCCCTACCCGGAGAACAAGCCTTTTCAAGGACCTCCAACGTCTTTGGGTCATCCTCTGTATTGCTCTTAACTGTTGTTATTCCATGAAACCTATTGATTATAAATTGCCACTAAAAGGAGTGAAATAAAATAATTTTTTGGAAAAAAAATTTTACCGACTTCAAAAAAGGTACAGTGAAAAATATGAAATAATTTCTAGTTAATTTATATGAATACGCACTAGCTCTAGATATAATTGTTTAAAAGTATGGGAAAATGCAATGACAAGCTTGAAATAATTTCTAGTTAACGTATATGAATCTGCATTACCGACCGAGCACTCTACATTACCGACAGAGTAACCTGCATTATCGACCGAACACTCTGCATTACCGACAGAGTAACCTGCATCATCGGCTGAACACTCTATATTACCGACAGAATAACCTGCATTATTGACCGAACGCTTTGCATTGCCGACAGAGTAATCTGCATTATCTGCCGAGCACACTACATTGCCGACACAAGAATCTGCATTATCGACCGACCACTCTACATTACCGACAGAGTAACCTGCATTATCGACCGAACACTCAATATTACCGACAGAAGAATCTGCATTACCGACCGAGCAACCTGCATTATCGGCCGAGCACCCAATATTACCGACAGAAGAATCTGCATTACCGACCGAGCACTCTACATTACCGACGGAAGAATCTGCATTGCCGACCGAGCACTCTACATTACCGACGGAAGAATCTGCATTACCGACCGAGCACTCGACATTACCGACGTAAGAATCTGCATTATCGACCGAACACTCTATATTACCGACGGAATAATCTGCATTACCGACCGAGTACTCTACATTGCCGACGGAAGAATCTGCATTACCGACCGAGTACTCTATATTACCGACGGAAGAATCTGCATTTCCGACCGAGCACTCTGCATTACCGACGTAAGAATTTGCATTACCGACCAAACACTCTACATTGCCGACAGAGTAATCTGCATTATCGACCGAACGCTTTGCATTGCAGACAGAGTAATCTGCATTATCTGCCGAGCACACCACATTATCGACACAGTAACCTGTATTATCGGCCGAGCACTCTACATTACCGACGGAAGAATCTGTATTACCGACCGAGCACTCTACATTACCGACAGAGTAACCTGCATTACCGGCCGAGTACACAGCATTACCGACAGAAGAATCTGCATTACCGACCGAGCACTTTACATTACCGACGGAAGAGTCTGTATTACCGACCGAGCAACCTGCATTATCGGCCGAGCACTCAATATTACCGACAGAGCAACCTGCATTATCGGTCGAGCACTCTACATTACCGCCAGAGGAATCTGCATTACCGTCAGAAGAATCTGCATTACCGACAGAGCACTCTGTATTGCGGACAGAGCACTCCACATTAGCGACAGAGTAATCTGCATTATCGACCTTACCGACACAATTTTTGTGAAACAATCCGCCAGATGCTTTGGATGGTTAGAGTTATGTCTGATAGGTTATCGGCCGATAATACAGGTTACTGTGTCGATAATGTGGTGTGCTCGGTCGAAAATGTAAAGTGCTCCGTCGATAATGTGGAGTGCGCTATCGGCAATGCAGAGCGCTCTGTCGGCAATGTAGAGTGTTTAGTCGATAATGCAGGTTACTCCGTCGGTAATGCAAAGTGTTCGGCCGATAAGGCAGATTGCTCTGTCGGTAATGCAGAATGCTCGGCAGATAATGCAGATTACTCTGTCGGTAATATGGAGTGTTCGGTCGATAATGCAAGTTACTCTGTCGGTAATGTAGAGTGCTCGGTCGGTAATGCAGATTCTTTCGTCGGTAATGTAGAGTGCTCGGTCGGTAATGCAGATTCTTCTGTCGGTAATGTAGAGTGCTCGGCAGATAATGCAGATTCTTCTGTCGGTAATGCAGTGTACTCGGTCGGTAATGCAGGTTGATCTGTCGGTAATATTGAGTGTTCGGTCGATAATGCAGGTTACTCTGTCGGTAATGTAGAGTGCTCGGCAGATAATGCAGATTACTCTGTCGGCAATGCAAAGCGTTCGGTCGATAATGCAGGTTATTCTGTCGGTAATATAGAGTGTTCGGCCGATGATGCAGGTTACTCTGTCGGTAATGCAGAGTGTTTGGTCGATAATGCAGGTTACTCTGTCGGTAATGTGGAGTGCTCGGTCGGTAATGCAGATTCATATACGTTAACTAGAAATTATTTCAAGCTTGTCATTGCATTTTCCCATACTTTTAAACAATTATATCTAGAGCTAGTGCGTATTCATATAAATTAACTAGAAATTATTTCATATTTTTCACTGTACCTTTTTTGAAGTCGGTAAAATTTTTTTTCCAAAAAATTATTGTATGAATTCTACCGCGGGTGAAAACGGAAACGAACGAAACGACTGATGCTTGTATTTATTTTATCTTTATCAACTAATTATAGAATATTCTACTTATTTCATGTAAAAATTGATTGTGACGATTAATAAACGATATGCAATAACTCCATTTTGAACTGTGAACACATGCCAAAATCTATCTTTTTACTACAAGTTTTAATTAATGTCTCACATTTAAAAGGAAAATAAATGAAGAACCCTAACATCGTTACCTAACTGGTATCGATTAAGCAGAAAATAAGGGTAAGTTATTATATGTAGATTAGATTTGAAGGAACGCGAATGAAATAGAATATAGGTTCATACCATATAAGTAATTATAAAATTACAGTAGTCCCCTAGCAGCTTGACCTCCTTCGCTTGATAGAGCACGTCGATGATGATGTTCGGATCAACGTCGATGATCACGTTGCAGATGGACAGCGCGTGGATCTCTTTCAGAACAGCTCGATAGTCTGGCCCTTCGCCGAGTCTTCTTAGCGTCATCACGCTGTCCTTGTTTCGTCTAAGCGTTAGGGCCTGTTTGATTCGCGACAGGCCATCGTTGGTTTGATAAATCGCGACGAAGGCATTCCATTTCGTGGCGTCGATTAAGTCAGCGATCGCCTGCGAAAAATTTTCATTGTATTTCAGACTCAATTACGTTTCTTGGATGTGTCACCTTCACAATCCACTGTGTATATAACAATTTGTTTAAAGCAAAGAGCGACAATGTAATACAATAAATTCTTTCGAATTGAGAATTTATGATCCTCTCAGAGAATAAATATTTATGCCTTGAATACATTTAAGAAGTAGCTCTTGAAATACCTAATACGTGTCTTAAATGATCGATAGAACGTCTTTTGGTATATTTCTCAAGTCTTTTTAAAACTTCCACCAACATTCTATGTAACGCGTATATTAAATCTGTCTAAGACTTAATGTCGGAGTACTTCATTGTAAAATATAAAAAAGAAAACATGTAATTCCATCTCATTACGTGCTTGCCTCCCTGCTTGGAGACTCGTTATAATTACATCGTATAATTGAGTGCGAATGGTGTCAGATGTGAAACGGTTCCCCACAACCGAGGCTTTCGCGCGGAGAAAACAGTCGAGCGTCCTAGTACGGAAATTTCAGTGTATCACGATTCAGTAATTAAACGTTCTAGTTACTGCTCCGAAATTATATTTCAAACGTCCGTCAAATTGCATTTGAACCCGCGAAATTTTACTTTTGACGTTCCCGGGTTTCCCCGGCGAATGCCACTGTTTCGGTCACGTTAAATTAAAAAACTTCAGTAATATATCCGCGTGTCGTTCGGAAGGATTTAACGTGGACTCCCGCAATGCAGATTTGTGATCATTCTTTTACGTACAATTGGTCCAGGTAACCCTATAGATAGTCAGGAATTATTTATATTAATTATCTGAGGGTCGAAATCAAATTATCAAGCTTGACATGCTTTATATTTTATAAACCAGTCTTGTCTATTGAATTTTTGCAACAAACAAACTTATCTAAGACTGATAAATAGTGATCCTAATTCTATTTTATAATTCTAAGCTTTTGTACTCGCACAAAATATAATTTCATCCCTTATGAAAACTGGCGAATCTCTAAAAAGTGTTGTACCTCTTATCAAAAATTTGTATCCATACAAGAATTTCGCCTCTTTCTGAACAGAAGACTGTTGAGACATTTTCACGTCGCCCGACGATGGAATTTACCGATAAAACTGCGATATTTCGTGGCTCGAAAACACGCGTGGATCAAGGGCATCGAGAAGGAACAAACACGTAATTGATATCGCGTTAAATATTTGAAAAGTATTCGTGCAAACGGTAGCCTCTGAATGCGACACGAAAGCACCCCGCGTAATTCTATTTATCGCGAGCGGAACCAAACCCCCTCCGTCGTTTTAATTACGAAATAAAATTAAAACGCGCAACAATTCTTTCGCTCGTTTTAATTAAATTTAATCGATTAGTCGTTTAATTTGTACCAAGCGATCGATTTCATTTTTTTTTCTCTTCTCCTTCCTCCATCGCACTGCCTCTCTCTCTCTCTCTCTCTCTCTCTCTCTCTCTCTCTCTCTCTCTCTTGTCTAAATACGAAAGAACAAAAACTGATCCAGAGTCGTTAGCTGGAGTTCAGTCTTTGATCGTGCTCATTAGCTCCGGTTTACCGGTTTAATGCTCCAACTACTTCAAAATCGCTCGATTCGCCTCGTTAGGCGCGTAATTTAAAATGCATCGAAACGATGTTTCCTCGTTGCCAATTTCTTGACGTTCCGCACATTCCGATGTTCTTTGAAACGCCGTTTACGATTCGTTTAATGTTGGTTCCTGCGTAGAACATAACCGAAGCAACGATTACTGAAGCCACAGTCTGGGAATCGGCAGTTAGAGAACATCCAGAGTATCAACGAAATGTTATTTCATTTGCAGAGGCTCAACTGATATAGAATTACTGTATATTGTTTATTTAAGGTTGAATGACGGTAGTGTTTACAGTTATTGCTGAAAATTTGTGGTTGTAACGTGATAATTGTAGGTATGGACAGCAACAGGACAATCTACTAGTTTATATGGGCTAAAATCTAGGAGATTGTACCGTTACTAGTCAGACTCGCGAACCAACTTCTCATCTTCTCACAGGATCATATTGAAACCAATTTATTTTCGCTGTTATTTAAAAGGACTCTCTTGAATCATCAACACAATTTGATGAATTATTCAAGACTTAAACAGCGTCTTGTTTTAAAAAGAATCCATTTAAAGAGTCAAGTGGTATTGATATGCTTTGCATGATTCCTCGATTATCTCTTTAATAATACATGCAAACTATGATAAATAAATGAACCGTTTATCGCATAAATCAATTAACTCCATAAAACAAAAAGTTGAGAAATGCGATGAAATAATGTACATTGTTTCTTAAAATTCCAATTATAATACAGATTCGAATAAATATTGTAGAATAAATAAATACAGATGTAGCTGCCATCGAACGGTACATAAAATTGATGAGAAAGAATAGCTAAAAAATAATTGTCAGTAATGTTACAATTTTTATGAGACTGGCGAAGTTAATCAAATTATGCAGTGAACGGGTCAAATGTGAATACATGCTTGTAACACTACACTATTATTCTCTTCTATAAATTATTCGAATGCTTCAAAAAAGACTAAAAACATTGACAAAGTAATCGATAACTTACCTTGCCGACAAGTTCGCTGTCAGGGTAGTAGTTGATGGTCATCGGTGTCGGGTTCTTCGGTTCCTGGTCGACCTGGAGTTCCTCGTTCTGTCGCCACGTGTAATCAATGTGCGGAATATCGAAGCGTGCCGCGATGCTAGCGACAATTCCATGCGTGTAGGAGCTCACGGGGCCGAAGATCGCCGCCACACCTTCCTCGACGAGCTCGCAGGCTGCAACGTTAAGGGTGTCTTCCACACTACCAGTTAGGCTACTTACGTAGAGCTAAGCATGCAAATAGAGCACCCTCGAAATTGGAATCTGAGAGGAGCCACGTAAGCCGTTGCGTGTATACAGATCAATTTCAGGCAGTTGGGACCGATATTATCACCTGTATGGATATTATTGCAGAGGGAAATTCGAGTTACCGTAGTTTTGCTCTTTTTTTTTTTGACAAGTCGGGACCCGTATGATTGGGTAACTATTGAACTGGCAAGCTAAATTTCGAGTTGCATATCGATTTTCAGTGGGATATATCTATTGGGGTAATGCGTAAAATGTACGATGGCTTTTACGAATGTAATTTTTTCTGAAATATTATAGGACATATGTGAAATATTGATGTTTGATATCAATATCGCAAAAATAAGCGGGATTTCAATAATAATTTATTTAAAAATTGTATTTCCGTGTAACGTTTATTTTAAATATTTATTCCAGTATTCGTTACTTTCGTTTGGACATTTTTAAAAGTGCGATGGTACGTGTGAAAATTTTTTATTACAGTTAATACAGTTTCTGTGTAGAATTTTCAAAATGTTTTTGAAAATTTTAAACATGTACACTTTGCATTCGTAAATATATTCTAATCACATATTTGTAATTACCTATATTCACTACCAATTCTCTATGTTATTTGCATGTTCTCTACATTATACACGTGTTCTTTAGGTTCTTCATCCATTCTTTACGCAAATTGTGACCAATGAATTCCCTCCAAGCACTCCGTCATTGAAAATGACAAGACGTAGAAACTGACACTCCCATAATCTCCTATCACCATTCAAATCATCGTCCAAACACGCGTCGAAACTCGCTAAATTTACCATACCCAAGCATCGAGACACTCTGCCGCACACAGAAGAGAAGGCGTTCCTATTTGACGGAGGGACATGAAAAAGGAGTTCCTTGGGGTATCAAATCCCCGTGGCAAAGGTAAGGGAAGTTCCTCGGTGGCTCCATTGTCGCCGCCATCTTCCCTTGAAAGGGCTTAACGTTGAATTTATCGCGCCACAGCGACGACTGGCGTCGAAGTCCACGGCACCGGACGACCCCCAGCGAAAACCGTAACAAACGAGATAGTTATTCCTTGCCACCCCTCTCCCGACACTGTTCGCCCTGGTAATTGACACTCGCGTTTCCTTCCAGCGCCCGTGCAATTAATCAAGACGCGACGTCGAAGTTTCCCGTTCGAACGGCCGCGTCTATACGCCCCGTTAATTGGTTCATTAGTTGTTTTAATCCCGAACGTCGGGGGTTGATTTTGCGTCGCGGCTGTCTGCCACGCTAAACTACTTATAAGCCGTATCGAGTGGATCCGTACGTACCAGCGGCGGCGGTCTTGAAGCTGTCGGTATTAACCTCCACCTCCTTTATGACGGCCTGCAATTCGAATGTGGGCGCGATGCGCTCGAATCTCGCCTCGTACACCGCCTTTTCAAACGCCGCTCTGTGCTCCTCATCCCCCGCGTGGAAGATTGCGCCTGACAACAAACGAGAGACGTGGTGTATTAGTCGGGGACGCCTTATCAAAGATACCACCTTCTGGCAAAGTAGAAACTTTTCTCGAGCGTCGCGAAACTCCAGCGAGTAATTTGAATTTAATTATTAGGGGTTGGTGAGTTCTTTCCATTCTCGTATTGAGATTGAACACGTCTTATGATTTTATGTATAGTACAATTTTTGGACGATTTCGTGTGGTCCGTTTAAAAAAAAATTAATGTAATATGCATGTGTACTTGGAATAGGATAGGTGGACACTTTTATTAAGATTTACTTGGTAAAGTATCTATCAATATTAGCATGTAACCTTAAAGTAACGTGTATCCAGAGAGGGTTAAGTTTGTAGTTTGTAGATTCGGCGCAAATTAATTCCAACTATCGCTACGTCGAGAAGCTGACGAAATAAATTCAAACTTCGCCGTTACCGCCGATTCTACGAATCGTTTCCGCTCGCATCGTTGGATATCCGACGGAAGAAAGCGATTTTCGCCCGGGCGAGAGATTGTCCAATTTCGTCGGAGCTCCTTGCGATTTCGGCCAATCTTTCGAATTCGCTGGCAAACTCGAAGGTGCACACATCAAAATACTCGTCGCGAAGTTTTGGACCATTTTCTGGGCTGGATTTGCTGATAACGGTGCTTGGGAACTGGTTATTTGTTTACGAACTTCTGATGTTATTTAATTATTCTTCCGGTACTGTAATTCTGTCCAACGGTTTCTCTAATTCTAGAGTAAATATGTTAAGCATCAAATCTTTAGATATGTCAAACATTATCTCGCCTACCCTTAAATACTATAATGTATTTATTAATCATATAAAGCCAACAAGAATATTGTACAACTAGAGAGAGGTGAAACGTGTGACTCCAATTTCAGCGGTGGTGAAATCGCATTAAAAGTAATACGTGTCAGAGAGATTGGATAAAACACGCGTTTTTTACAGAAAAGTGTCCGATTACGTGATTTACTTTTCAAAACGAAAGTATAATATTGTAGTCGAAGTCACAGAACCGCGATGCAATTTATTGCTCAACACGGGGTATCAGTTTCACAGTAAACAAATACAAAACTGTTATTGAATATTCATTTCAAAGGAAAATTCGTTTTTTGATGAACAAGAAGTGAGCTGTTGTTGTCACTTTTTATATTTTTTTAACCGTACTTAGTTGACGGGGTGATTATTTATTTTATTCTTGTGTTTTACTACTTTACTTTTCGTAGAGAAACAAATTGCTCGTGAACATGTATCATAGAAGCAAAATGAAAACGAGAATTGGAGAATATAGACATTAATTAAGTTACTGTGAAAATGGCAGCGAATTTCTGTCTTACAACCAAACCATAATGTGCAGCGAGAAGATGAATGATGAAGTAGTGGAGTAGCCAAATGGTGGGAGTAGCAACTGCATGAGCTTGAACGGCCATTTTTCTCTCTAGTAAGGAGTCTTACTTTTATCATTCTTTCTTCAGTCCATTTTTCTGTTTTTCTACTGTTCATCATCCTGCTGCCTGTAGACAACTCTCAGTTACTATTTGTATATCTAATTTTAACTATTATTATATATACAAATCAGTATAGTTTGAAGAGTTTTTAATTTCTCATATCTCTAAATGTCAAATGAATTTTAAAATATAAAAATAAGTTCACGAATTTTAAGAACTAAAGATGAACCTTCATATCTATCTTCCTTGTAGTGTCAAAAGTTTTAAAGAAATATTCTTCCATACTATCACCAGCTTTTCATCTAGAGTGTGATATATATTTTTCATCGTTAAACCTTTGTCATTGATCAAACTATCCTTTATTCCATTATTTGCTGCTTCGCTAACCCACCATGAATTTATTTGAAATTCGTCCATATTTGATTTTAATTTTTCAAAAGCATCGAGGTTGACGTTCGTACCATCGAAACGTGTATTCACTTTGTCAAGCTTTTTGCGTCAAAATAGGGTGGTATGTTCGACCCCAGGCAGAAAATTGCAATCATAAAAATTTTATTCCGAAATATTTAACGCGCAACACATACGTTTTTAAACATTTCCCCAGTTACTATCATCGCGTTGCGTCGCCTCTATGTGCGCGATATTTTTAATTCCTATCGTCTAATTTTATATCGGGGTTGGGCAAATTTAATAAAAATTCCAGATATATATTCGTGGAAATATAAACAAGCGAAACCCACAAGCCTTTCACGAGCAGCTCAACGTCGCCTGCTTCCAGACGAGCGGCTGAAGTATTCATTTGTTTTTATTCTTGCGAATAAATCCGAAATTTTTATTCCTCAACCCCCTCGGAATAAAATTCGCTCAGCTCTGTTCCCAATAAATCTGTTTGGATTACAAAAATTTCAAGTGCACGGTTAACGATGCATCGCCCTCCTTCGATTGAAACGGTGGTGTCCCGTGGGACGTTCGATGCGACGATACGAATAATTAGCGTGATGTTTAATGCATATTTTGACATACTAATTACGCACGTGACACGGGGTTATGTGTACACGCATACACATGTACGTCCGTCAATTTGCACAACACCAGCCAAGGCAAACACGACCATGTCGACGATGAAGATAATTTCAATCATTCGGGTAGCAGCCGTGGGATTAGACGATGAACCGATCAGAGGCAGTGGCCAAACTCGACTGAGTGACAGGTCACTGGGTATCGTATTTCATATCGATACTTAGACATTGTCCCGTAATCCTCTGTCGCGTCGACTGTCGTGATTCGACGCCCACGCCGAGATTACGCCAGCAATAATGGCTCCTGACTGTCGTGAAATCAATAAGAGACCATGGGATGTCACTCTAGGTGCTGTTCTACCCAAGAATTATCGAGTTAGGGTTCTTCCTGTTAGGATCGATGGCGATACACGGAGCATGTTTAACATCGACGGGGATGTAGCCATAATAGAATAGATGGAACGATGATCTTCGTATCTGACAGACGGTTCAGGATCCATTTCAGGGAGGGTTGGGTCTGGTAAAGGGTTGCTTTCGAGATATAATACTCGTTTTAGTATTATCAATTACTTTTAATAATAATAATACTTTATTTACGGGTAACCTATCCTTGATATCAAGTACAATGTGATAACATGACCGCAAGAAAAAACAAAACAAAAATGGAGACGAATACGGTATCACTATGATGTAACGTGTTCAACCTTGATTGCGTATCTGCAAAATTGCAACTACTGACCTTTCAAATGCTAAACGTAAGCCATGAAAAAGATCGACAGACATATTAAGGCTGTTAGCCATCGCACATATTCTTGTGACACAATTTTGTTTCGCAATTGAGGTACGATATGGATCAATGTAAAAAATATCGCTGCTTCGAAGTTGTCTGCTACGAATATTAATTTTCAATAGTTCCAGTATCTTGGGACATACAATTTTACGATTGGCTATTTTAAAAAGTAATATGAGGTCAGCTACAGTTTGGCGCTGCTTAAGCGTGTGCATTCGCAAAGTGCGGAGTATATTGTCGTATTCATGGTTTGCGATATCCATGGGTGTCCCTATCTTATAAGAAACGTGCCTTAAGAATTTATGCTGAACACTCTCAATCATTTAACATAATAATGCATTTTTGTCATTGTTACTGACATGAATCTTTTAAATTGAAAATGAATTACATATTCATTCTCCATTCTTAAATCATCACAAGCACTTAAATACGTATATAAATGTTGAAAATATGTTAAAAATGTTCCCAAAATATTTTAGTATAAATTTCACCCATCGATTAAATTATTTCAATTCTAAAATAATCGTCGACTCCAGTTACGACTGAGCGACATCCAGTCCTGAGCATATGTTCAATCTCTTCAGTTCCTAAAATTTTAACAACGTACAGCCTCGCTCACCTTAACGATCCCGCGGTAAGCGGACATCCTTTACTCGGAATATCTCGAAGCAATTTCGCGGTTTCCAACCGACGGCCATCAACACTCCCCCTCCCTTCAACTCAGGCGCTCCTCACGTATACTTAACATGCATAGGATATTTCCCCGATGAGCGCTGATATCCAAAAGAGGAAAAACCGTGTCGGTTTTCCGACAACACTCCACCAACGTGCTCGTCGTTAGAGTCATCTAATTTTCATGGAAATTAAAGCTGTTCGAGGGTGGTTGAAATCAAGACCGCGAGACGTAATCAGTTTCAATTTGTCGAGTGATAGCGACGGCGAAGAGAACGCGCCAGTGCAAATGAATCAGGGTAGCAAGGTGATCAAACAACGGAAAAAATTCACTGTGAACGTCAGGCGTCTTCGTTACGGCGTCTGGTTTGTTTCAGAATTTTAAGCGACAATGATCGAGATACAGGAGTAAGTTTATCGATAAATTGATTTATTTATACCACTTTTAAAATGAAAGATATAGGAGTGCATCGACTGTTAGTAATTTTGGTATCAATATTTAGCATTTGGTATTTCATGTGAAATAAATTTAGAATGTATTATGCCTTTTGTTGCAGAAATAATGTTTCGACGAGGAATCGATTCGAGTTCGAGCTGGGAAACGCGTATTTGTTAAAATAAATTTTCATTGCGCGTAGCATAAAAATACCTACACGTTTTATTAACGATTTCATTACAATTTTATGAACATCGAAAACATGGCAAACTGGAACAGGAAGAGTGTTTGAAAAATACTTCAATTAGAATTCATTATTCTTGGAAACTCGAGAGGAAATACAGTTAAATTTAATTTTCGTTCTTCTATAATTTTCTGTATCATATCGAAAACCCATTTGTTATTTTTTTTAAGACGATTTATGAGATTCCGATGAAGCCCCCGGAAGAGATTGAAAACGTTTCATCAATGTACACGTGTACGTTTTAAAACTAATAAAATTCCCTTCGCGTTTGCATTGCCGAGCAAATTGAATTTTATTTGGATTATTGAAGTCGAGATGATTGCACTTTTACAATGTGTACTAAACGGGATAAATGGTCAACGGTGTTTTTCGAAATA